AACACAAACATGACACTTGTAAATTAAATAATTTTATATATACTGATTTATTCATTAATGTGTAATATGTTTTATTTATTTAAACAAATCATAAGCTCTAAAAGATTTTCAGAATTTTTACAACTCTTTTGCTTTAGACCATCTACAAATGTTAAATCTTAAAATAAAATGTTAGGGTTAACTGCATCTTTCTGGTGAAAAAAAATGCAGCAGTTGATATATAGTTTATTTATAGTTATTTTCAAAGCTTCAATGTATTGTCAACAAACCTTCATTATTGTTTATTTAATTTAACAAATAAGTTTAACTAACCAAAATTAATGCTTATAATTTCTGCACAGGAGAAACTTGGTGTTGTTTCCAAACAAAAGGAAATATATCGGTATCGGGCAAAATGAGTTGAAAAATATCGGCATATCGATATCGGCAAAAATCCAATATCGTGCATCCCTAGTTAATTTAGATCTGTTTGTAAAATAATATGCATAATATAATATTGAAATATAAATAACTGTATTTTTAATACATTGAATTATTGAACACTTACACATTTTTGATTGATTACCATTTAAGGTTTTTCTAATAGCTAGTAAACTAGTAATACTGCACATTCTCAACAATTATGCTTTAACAAAGTATTTTTCAAGGATTTCTATAGTCTTTGGCTTTAAGTGGTGTATTAGTAGTTAGTATGCTACACTCTAAGAAACGTCTGTAAAAATAGCGCACAATCTACTATGTTAATATGAAAGAATTTTCCGTATTGGTTTTTACCCTGCATTTTAAATTACGCATTGTATTTTCAGGTTACAGGGTGATAATGGATAATGTCCTGGAAGATTACTAGCATGTTTTACATTTTTCTTACAGTGTACTAACTGATCAACAATCGCAGGTACAAGCTACTAACAAAGTGTATCATAAATGAACAATTATTCAATTATTATTAAATTGAACAATTGCAAATAGCAGCTAACTTAATTCCTGTGATGTGTGTAGTGCGAGGAATCTTTGGTTTCCTCTTTTTGTGTAATTTAGATGGGAAATGTGTGCCTTTTTATCATCTGAGTCACTTATCAAAAGTTGCTAAAAGATGCCAAATAAATCGTCATATCATACACATAGGCTACAGAAACTTAAAAGGTCCTCGTGGCGACCCGTCAAAATAAAGGTTCGGTTTAGCTTAAAGAAATTGTCATAAATATTATTTGTTGCTTGTTGTTGTTTACTTCAAGTTTTACAAAATGTTTATGCTGGGTGCTCAGATCCCTTGTTATTCTTAATTTTGACACTAATTTTAATTTTTACACCAGACATGTATATCGGTTCAAAATATCGGTTATTGGTCTACTTAATAATCAGTATCTGCATCGCCCTGAAAAACATATTGGTCGAACCCTAATCATGTGACACTGAAGACTGGAGTAATGATGCTGAAAATACAGCTTTGATCACAGAAATACATTACAGTTTAACAGATATTCACACAGCTGTTTTAATTTGTAATAATATTTCACTGGTTTTACTATATTTTTAATCAAATAAATGCAGCCTTGGTGAGCAGAAGAGACGTCTTTAAAAAAATCTTCATTACAAAACCTCCAAATTCAACTCAAAAACAATAAATGAGATGCACACTAAAGCGCAGCTAAAAACTGAAGATGAGCATCATCCACTGACTGTCAATAAACATCAGAACAGACACTCTTCTGTTAATCAGACACGTTTAGCAACTGCTGATGATCTTAACGAGGCCAGATATCAGCTGATTGACCAGGTCAACACATCGACAACGACGCTGAGATCAAGGATCATGTAATCAACAAATTAAAGGAACAGCACACTTAAAAAAAAAAAAAACTATCCTCAGTTCATCTGAGATCAGGATGAGTTTGTTTCTTCATCAGATTTGTAGAAACGTAGAATTGCATCAGTGTCTCAGCAATGGATGCTCTGCAGTGAATGGGTGCCATCAGAATGAGAGTCCAAACAGCTGATAAAAACATCACAATAATCCACAAGTAATCCACAGCACTCCAGTCCATCAGTTAACATCTGGAGAAGACAAAAGCTTAAACAAATCCAGCATTCAGACGCTTTTATACGAGTCCATAATCCATAATAACTCTCCCTCCAGTGAAAAAGTGTTCTGGTGTGAATCAGGAGAGAAATCTGCACAGATCAAGCAGCGTTTAAACAGCTCTAAACTAATATGTGGCTGGATTTTGATGTGAGAGACAACAGCAGATGCACTTTTTCACTGGAGGAAGCGTTATTATGGATTATAGACTCAATGCATTTTAGTTAAAAACGTCTTGATGGATTTTGCATGAGGGCAAATATGCAGCCTTTTGCTGTTGCTATGGATTCAGCGTCACAGAAAGCAGCAAGAAACGTCAAGAAGCTGCCAAGCACAGTGAGCGCCAGCTGAAACTGCATCCAGAGCGCCGCCATTTTGGATCGGCGCACAGCAGAGAGCCTCACGAGACCAGCAGCTGTAAATCTGAGTATGAACACAGACGCAGCAGATCTCATGCACGGCTTTACATCAACCGATCATCATTAGTGACAGGCCCATATTCACACGATAGTCAGCCGATGTGAGATCATCAGCTTGAGCCATTTCAACATCTGACAATCTTTTCAACGGATATGATTTATATGATTCCTCAAATCATTGTGCATATATTCCGTCATTTATATATGCACCATTTACCAGCAATACATGTCACCAAATAGTAATTAGGCTTGTTAGAATGACACTCTCACATAACAAATTAATAACTTCCAACTATCCAACTTACTATATAGCAAATCCCAACTGCGTGATTTCTTATTTCATCACAAAATGTAACAGCATCACCACTTAGCTTTTTATACAAAGTTGCATATATAATTATATCAAAGTTTATCTGCATTCATACATTAACTCTCGTAAACTGATACTATATAGTAAATCTCAACTGCTTTATATTGTTATAAATGTACTGATATCATCGTCTGGCTCTAAGAACAAATATCTGACAATAAGCGCAGCATTAAAATCAACGTAAGTTTTTTTTCAGTCCTTAATGACAGACATTTGTTCATTCCGTTCAATTCCTCAAGACTTTTTACATGTGCATCTCCAGTAAACGTGTCTCAACTTAAGGATGTTCAGATATTTGCACTGGAAAACAAAACAGAAATATCTGATTTTTTTTGCAGTGCATGCAACATTTAATGCCACGATTTACGAATTTGACTTTCTGCTCTGATTTAAGACTTTTAAAGGCAAATTAAGATGTTTTGAAAACCCGCAAAAGCTCTGTAACTGTATTACATTAGTGATTATCGGTATCAGCACATCATTCCGTCTCATTTTAAAATCTACTGACGGTTTGAATAGATAGAGCGCAATATTTTGAGTAAATATTAATAGGTACAATCACGATATCGATCATCAGTTTTGTGTGCATCTCATTATATCGGTTGGGTTGGGTATCAAAAACCGATTCCATTCTAGAACCGATTTTGCTTAACGATTCCTGCGTAGGGGTGTGTGATATATATCGTCTGCGATAATATCGTAATTGTTGTTTTAACCATGTGCGATTTGACGTTATCGAGTATTTTGCAAAAACCATTCAAAACAACCCTACAGAGCGCACGCTTACATTACGTGAAGTCTAGACTAGTGCGTGTGCGCATTTAGTGTGTTTTCTTTCACTGCATGATTCAGGCTATTAAAATGCATTTAGAATGATCACAAATTTAAGACATGGCAGAAAATTTATATATTTATACCACTTCATATAGTTATTCAATTTCACACGAAGAGTGCCGTTTTTCTCCCAAAAATACCATGTTTACAAATGTGACATTGAATTCAATAAACAATAAGTTAATTAAATATCGAGATATAATTTTTTGTCAATATCGCACACCCCTATTCCTGCGTTCACATTTTAATGTGATTTAAAACATTAAACTAATATTTATCGACCAGTGTGCAGAAAACTACATCAGTATATCATCACAAACCCAGCCTTTTTTGTCTTAAGTGAAGGTAAACAGATGAGAAAGAAACGCTTGTGTACAGTATTTTAGATCTGTGTGTGTTCGGTGTTAAAGAGACAGCAGCCTAATAAACACGCTGCCTGTCATTAATGTTAATCAGAGAACAAAAGCAACATGACTGAATCTCTTTAATAACTTTAATGTTTGATTAGTAATATGCATTGCTAAGAACTTCATTTGAACAACTTTAAAGATGATTTTCTCAATATTTAGATTTTTTTGCACCCTCAGATTCCAGATTTTCAAAAAATGGACCCTTCTGACTGGTTTTGTGTTCCAGGGTCACATATATCGATCACTCGATCTTCTGATATCGGTATCAGCTCTAGGCTTGATCTAATTTAAACCAGTCTGTCATGTTTTCCCTGCACTCGCAACACCAAGGTCGTGGGTTCGAATCCCGGAGAATGCATGAACCGATATAACGGAAGTCGTGTATGTTGATTGATTGATTGATTGATTGATTGATTGACAGCTGTCTCACCTTGTTGAGTGACGGCACCAGCAGTCCTCTCCATTTGGGCGCGTTCTCCTCACTGTAGAAATCATACTGGAAGGGCGCAGCCTGCATGATGTGTGTGTGTGTGTGTGTGTGTGTGTGTGTCTCACATCCACCTGATCCGAGGAGGAGGAAGAGCACACCTGCCTAATGTGACCATCGCATCCTCCAGACAGCAGCGGAGCTCCAGCGTGTGTTATCGATCAGCTATCGATCCCTGAGGCGATCAGTGCGCGCGCATCTCCTCAGATATCGATCAGGTATCGATCGGCGCGATCAGGCTCGGCTCGCTGGGACTCCAGTCACGGAACGGATCGGTTTGTCGGGTTCCGCCGTGTTTCGATCAGATCTCGGTGTTTTATTGATCCGCGTTCGTTCGGGCGGTTCATGAACATGCGCAATAAAACGCCTCAGAAAACTCCCCGCTTTCGCCGCGTCCCGCGTCACCGAGCCTCGCGCCGCTCCTCGAGATCCACCACGAGCGCTCGAGCATCGGATGAAGCGCGAAAGTCCAAACCGAGAGGAAACCCGAGGGTGTAAACGCAAGAGCTCTCCGCGGTTTGGAAGAGACGAAGCAAAAACACTGTGCGTGTGATGACGCGATGACGCAATGACGCACGGGCGGCGCAGGCAAACTAACAGATCGCCGATCACTCCGTGAGCGTAAGAAGTATAAAACAATAGATATAACAATATATATCACATTTACAGAGTATGATAATGTGAGATATGAAATATACATTAGAAAGAACACGCTTAGAGTTTGACACCTGTGCATTTTATTTTACAAATTACAATAGTTTAGATACATCCCGTGATTTTGATTTCAAATACGACACTGAATTTAGTTTTTTAATTCGCTTTCTCTCTGCCGTGAAACTGCTTCGAGTGTGATGACGTAATGACGTCAGACGAAACTACCGGAGCGCAGGGACGCCGATCGCAGAACAATACCGCAACACATTTAATCTAATATAGTACGTAGAAGGTTGTTTTCTACTCCTATAGTACTGTACTGTTATATGTATTATTTATGTGCTTATTGTAACCTAACTCTTAAATTAATTGTAATCAATTTTTATTTATTTTAATCTATTCGTTTTATTTTTAATACAAATTGATTTTCTAATATAATTACTTTTATTTAATAAAATATTATTTAAATTTTTATTGTATCAGTTTTATCTTTAATTTAATTTATTTTAATATTTGTATTATTTATTTAATTATTACAATTGATTTATTTTAACACAAATTGGCATTTTTATTTATTTCTACAAACCCCCAGCATTCACCTGTGACCCCAGATTGTCACTTCCTCACAAGGTTTCTTCATTAGCGGAAGTAAGTGCTCACTATTCTTTAGTAATAATATCTTTAGTAAAAAGCCTATACAAAACAAAAAAAAAAACTTTTTAGGTCGAGTTTGGTTAGTCTAAAAAATAATGCATTTTATAAACACGGAACGACCATTTGGCTTCGAAATAAATATTCCTAGCATTACGAATAATATTAATGTTATTATGATTATAAACAAGCGTCATTTGATCGAAACCCTCAGCGTGATCACGTGATGGCACTCACGTCAGCGGCGTGCGCCAGTGACGTAAAACGTGCCGACGTCATCACCCGCGCGTCTGGCGGGAATCCGACGCGGCTCGCGGACTGTCAGCAACCCCAGAAGAGTTTGATTCGCGTTTATTTGCTCATAAAGTGATTTCTTCTGATTTCTCTTCGCGTCAGCGTCAGGTGAGGGCGTCTAGCAAACGACAGTTTTGCGTTTGTGTGCGGAAACAGCGACTGAATGGAGATACAAGATGAATTCTGACTATAATGACGACGATGAAGTCCAGATAAATAATCACAATAAATATCACAATTACTAATAAATAAGAGTGTTTTTTTTATCTGAAGCGTGTGTTTGTGTTGTTGACAGGAGGAGAAATGCAGGCGTTTTTGAAAGGGTCTTCGTCACAGAGTGTTAAAACTCAGAAAGCATCCTCATCCTCCTCTTCATCAGCTGGAGAGAAGAAGCAGAAGGCAGTGCCCTGGGTGGAGAAATAGTGAGGCCTCATCATATCTGCACATACACACTCAGTCAAAGCTTTAGAACACAGCTATTTAAATAGTAAAAAACAATTCTAATTTTTGCTGTACTTTGGATCAAATAAATGCAGGCTTGGTGAGCAGAAGAGACTTCTTTAAAGAGCATCAGAAACATCTGACTGGTCGTGTGTGTAGCCTGTGCTTTGGCTCCGGTGTGTGCTTCATGCTGTATTTCTGGTTTGATGGGTGTGTTTCTCTGCTGTCTCCAGCAGGCCGAAGTGTGTGGATGAAGTGGCCTTCCAGGAGGAGGTGGTGGCAGTACTGAAGAAGTCTCTAGAGGGCGCTGATGTGGGTGACGCTCGGTGATCACATGACATTTCACAACCAATCAGCAGCCTGATCCCAAAAGAGGGATCTTTTTTCCTTTTTTGTCTCATGCAGCGCACTGCCTGCGTCTGAGTAACAAACTAAAAAAAACAACAAACTAAAACATGCATGTGATATTAACAGACGACACTATGCTCATATTTATAATTCCAAACGATCAGTAAGCGACAGGTGCTAGGAAACGCTGTTTTGTACTCATTTATTGACGAGTCGGCTGCGGTGCTTCTCTGCCGCTCACTGCACAGAACAGACGCCGAGAGAGGCGACGCTTCTCCGGGAAGTCAGACCTCGTGTTCGCGGGACAGCACTGGAGAAATCTTCCAACTGAACCATAGCTAAGCTTTATCCAGAAAAGTCGCTAGGTTTGTCAGTATGAATATTCTATGGAAAAAAGCCGCTAAAAGGGTCTGAAAGTTGCTAAATCTAGTGCTAAAGTCGCGCTCGTGTGTGTGAGACGCGGGAGCTGATGGCAGCGGGCGGTGGATATTTGTGGCGGTCAATGTGGATATTGTGGATGAGTTCTTCTGTGTCATCACGTTCTATTAGTTCTACAGCTTCAGTTTCGGAACTTTCACGCTTAGTAACACATACAGCTGTTCCCTCACCACAGTGCAACAGTGAAAAGAGACCCCTTTCAAACAGTGTCGCGTTCCGAACGTTGTTTAAGCGACATACACCGGTATAGCGGCATTTTAAAAATTCATATCATAACAAAAATAAACACCGGTATTCGCTATGAACCAGTATACCACCCAGCACTAAGTTAAAGTACTAAAATTACTAAAACTCAATATAAATACAAATATTTTATTGCAATCAGTTGCCAAGGCAAAATTTCTAATTTTGATGTTTAAGTACTAAATTTACTAAAACTGAAATAAAAATTATTAAAACCCAAATGGATATCAAAACCATACACACACAACAAAACAACTAAAACTTTAACTAATTTTAAAATGAAAATGTAAAATATAAAAATAAAAAGTGCTGAAAAATTACCAGAAATTTAAATTTATTTCAATTATGTGCCAAGTATTATTAATAAAACTTGAATTGTTCCCTATTTTATTTAGTTGCCGAGGCAAAATGTAAACTTTTCATTCAAGCTGAAGTACTAAAACTGAATTAAGCACAAAAAAACAACAACAAAATGCCTAAAATTAAGTAATATGAAAACTGAAAATATCAAAATGAAAAGTAATTCTAAATATTAATTGATTTGACATCACTGACACCAACTGAGACCAAAAATTGATCTGAATAATGTCTGCTTTCTTCTGTAGTTCAACTAATTTCATAAATGATCAACTCTACACAGTTATTGAACTGATCTGAATGATGACTAGTCTCTTGATTCTCTTATTTTCCCGTTCATCTCTGTAAAGCTGCATTGAAACGGTCTGTGCTGAATGAGTACAGTGGTGAAATCCTTCCGGAGATTTCAAACAGACTTTTAATATCTTTTAAAACTAGATTTGATCGTCTTATTTAGCAGATGTCGCTTAGGCCATACAAGACTGACTAAAGGTGAAGACTCTACTCAATGCGTGTTCTGCAAGATTCCCCTTTCTGTCAAACATATTTTTATGTATGTAGAAAACGAAGTGAACTCACTTAAAGATTTATTTAGTATAATTTTGCCAGGAAAAGTTTTAGAATTTGTATCATACGTTAATGTAAAAAATCTTGTGTGATATAACTTGTTTGCTGGTTTTTATTGTATTTGTTATAACCTAAGATGCTGGCATGGCATTGAATAAATATATACTGTACAGTGATGTTAAAGTGTCGTTGCAGCTGCCCAACCTGCTGTTTTATGGCCCTCCTGGAACCGGAAAGACGTCCACCATCCTAGCGGCCGCCAGAGAGCTTTATGGGTAAGATCTCCAGCTGTGTTCCTGATGATAACAACGTTTTGTTGTGCGATACATCGCCCCAGAAGTAACTGCGATAAGCGATTTTATTGTCATTTTATGCCACTGAATATATAATCATAATATAACAGCATAATAATGCAAGAAGGCCTACACACTTCCAAATGACAACAAACTTTTAATTCTTAAGAATATTTAGATCATGGAAATTATCAAAATTATTAGATACCTTACAAAAAAACTTATATAAATAAATAGTAGTGCTGTCAAACGATTAATCGCATACAGAATTATGCGATACAAAAAAAGTTTTTGTTCGCATAATATGTCTGTTCTGTGTATGTTTGTTTATATAAATACACACACATACAGTATATATTTTGAAAATATTTGCATGTCTATTTTTATATTCATGTAATTTATATTATAAATAAATATATTTAATATATAAACAACATTTTTCTGAAATGTATACATGCATGTGTGTGTATTTATATAAATATACACAGAACACACACACACATTATGCAAACAAAAACTTTTATTTTGGATGTGATTAATCATTTGACTGCACTAAAAACATTTTCTAACAAAAAGTTCAAAGTGACAAGTAGAAAAAAGAAAAATGCACAAAGAACTTACAGATTTTTCCCTGACCTTCATCTCTCTGTAAATGAAGGCTGCACACTATTGCTGAAAAACACAAGCACTACTCCGCAGTCAGATCCCTAAACAAGGCCATATCTGCAGATGAAGCTGTTTGTAGAAGCGTTTTTAAATTTGAACGAGAAGCTGCAAAAGACACAGGCGCGAGTGGAATGCAGAAAACATGGTGACATTAATTTTTATGTAAATATAATGGCCGATATATTGCGTCAACAAAAATTATTGAGGTCATGTACATATATTGTGCGATAAGTCGATATATTGATTATTGCGACAGGCCTGCTGATGCTGATTCAGAAACGTGTGTGTGTTGAACTGCTCATGTGAGTGTGTGTGTGTGTTGACCTGCTAGTGTGTGTGTGTGTGTGTGTGAGTGTGTGTTGACCTGCTCATGTGAGTGTGTGTTGACGCGCTCGTGTGTGTCTCTGTGTGTGTTGACATGATCGTGTGTGTGTGTGTGTTGACCTGCTCGTGTGTGTGTGTGTGTGTGTGTTGTGTGTGTGTGTGTGTGTGTGTGTGTGTGTGTGTGTGTGTGTGTGTGTGTGTTGACCTGCTCATGTGAGTGTGTGTTGACACGCTCGTGTGTGTGTCTCTGTGTGTTGACATGATCGTGTGTGTGTGTGTGTGTGTGTGTTCAGACCGGAGCTGTACCGTCAGAGAGTCCTGGAGCTGAACGCGTCTGATGAACGAGGGATACAGGTGGTCCGAGAGAAGGTGAAGAGATTCGCCCAGCTGACTGCAGCCGGAACACGCCTCGAGTGAGTCACGCTTTGGGATGCATCGTAGGGATGGGCGATAGGGTCGGGTATCGTTTGAATTTTATCCATTCCTAGTTTCGATTCCAATAAGATAAAAATAAGTCAAACATTTATTCTGTGTTTTTACGAAGTGTTCTGTTGCAGCTGAATAACACGAGCACAAATCAGCAGCCTACAGAACACTCAGGCCTACAAGAGGAACTTTTGCCTATGCTTTTAACAAAAATACCACCGCAAAAACAACTAGACTTATACAAATTTAAAATATAAAAGTGTTAAAGACAAGCAAACAGTCAGTAATATAATAGGAACAAACAAAGAAGCAATCAGGATTAATCGTATCCAAAATAAAAGTTTTTGTGTACATAATATATGTGTGCGTGTAATGTGTATATATAAATACACACACATGCATGTATATATTTAAAAAAAATGTTGTTTATATATTAAATATAAATTTATATCATATTTTATATTATATATAAATATAAGTATAAACAGTCAGTAATATAATAGGAACAAACAAATCAGTTAGCAAAAGCATAAATAAATACAACCGTTAGAATGATAGTATTATATACAGTGATAAAGGGCTATGTCGATTAGCATTGCATTATTAAAGCAATAAGCCCCGTGAAGCCGTGGTTTACAGTGACTTTATAACAGTTAAGGGGCGTTGTTAGCTTAGCTGTTATAAATTCACTGTAAACCACGGCTTCACGGGGCTTATTGCTTTTATAAAACGGTTATTCCATATACGTAGTTAGGTTTCACAAAATAAAACAGAGCAAATAAAGTGTAATGATATTAATAAAAACAGTATTCTTCCATCAAACAATGTAGCTCCTCAGAAACAGTTGTGGTTGCTACAAAGTGGTTGCCGAGCAACACACAAACATAAACAAAGGTGTGTGTTACTTTGTAGAGTCATTTACAACAGCTTCGAACGCGGCTCAGCCAATCAGAATCAAGCACCGGAACTATCCGCTTTATAAAAATATATTTTCTTTATAAAATATACCTAAGATTGCTTGAAGCAATCAGGATTAATCGTATCCAAAATAAAAGTTTTTGTGTACATAATATATGTGTGCGTGTAATGTGTATATATAAATACACACAACACACACATTATATTTAAAAAAAATGTTGTTTATATATTAAATATAAATTTATATCATATTTTATATTATATATAAATATAAGTATATATACATGTAAATATTTTCAAAATATATGCTGTAATTGTTTGTATTTATACATAATAAATATACACAGTACACACACATATTATTATATTATTATTATTTTGGATGCGATTAGTCGTTTGACAGCACTATATTAAATATATACATGTAAATATTTTCAAAATATGTACTTTGTGTGTCTTTATATATACATAATATATACAGTACATTATATAAACAAAAACTTTTATTTGGATGTGATTTAATCGTTCCCCAGCATTAATAAAATTGTGCACTCATGATTTTTCTACAGTAACTTTTACTGCTGAATTATCCTCTAACCTAATTCATAATAGTATTTTTGTCATAGATTATGATCATGTATTATTATTTTTTTCATTTGTTGTTTTTCTTCACAATGAAGTTGTCTGTGTTTAGTAGATTGTGTGTAACACACAGAGTGATGATCAGGTCAACACACATTGAGATTGAAATTCAACACTGACTTAAAGTAAAACTGCGCTAGGATCGGTTATGGAGCCAGCCCTAGTCTCACACTGACCGAACGCAGTGGTTTCTGAGCGCGTGTTGCTCTCTGACCCGCAGCGGGAAGCCCTGTCCTCCGTTTAAGATCATCATCCTGGACGAGGCGGACTCCATGACCGGCGCGGCTCAGGCGGCTCTCAGACGCACCATGGAGAAAGAGTCTCGAACCACGCGCTTCTGCCTCATCTGCAACTACGTCAGCCGGTCAGTGTGAGCCACCACGCAATCCCATGAGCCTCTGCTGCTGCACAGACTAACTGCTGCTGTCTCTACAGGATCATTGAGCCGCTGACCTCCAGATGCTCCAAGTTCCGCTTCAAACCGCTGGCCAATGACATTCATAAAAACACTGTAAATGTAATCCATATGAATCAAGTGGTTTAATCCAAGTCTTCAATCACTTTATATGATTATTTAATTTAGGCTTTTATTCACATATAAAACACTGATCTATGCACAAGCATAGAGCATATCAAATATGGTAAATGGAAGCTCAAACATACACCTTATAAGAACCAATGAGGTTTGTTTTCATGTGTCAAACAAGTATGGTTGAGCTTCCTTCAGAAGACCACTCATTTTTTTTTTTTTTTTTTTTTTTTTTTTTTCTTTCATTTTATTTAATCTTTAACATTTTTAATTACAATTTTTGTCATTTTTGTTCTTTTATTTGTATTTTTTTTATTTTACTTTCATTTATTCATTGTGTTCAGTGTTGTTTATTAGGGATGTAACGATGTTATCAATATCATGATAGCAAAACTGTCTCGATATTATCGCGGTCACATGACGATATGAAACGATAGGTCTGTGTAATTTATAAAATATATTTAAACTTCTTATTCTAACAAAAGGTGTTTAAAGTTGTGTTTTGGGTCATTATGCTTTTGTCAAACGAACGAATTTTATTTATTTTTTATTTTACTTTTTTCCATTTTTATAATTTCTTTTATTTGTATTTTTTAAAATACATTTTTCATTTATTTTATTCATTTTTTATTTAATCTTTTACATTTTTTTTTAATTAGTGTTTTTTCTTTCTTTTTAAACTTTTATTTGCATTATTTTAAAAATATTTTTAATTTATTTTATTCATCTATTGTTTAATTTTATGTAATTTCTTTAATTATTTTTAATTTTTGTTGGTAATGGAAAAATCCCAATTACTGTTCACACTTTTCACAGAAATATATCTTCATTTAAAAGTTTTTTTTATTACTTTATTTATTTTTAATTTAATTTTACTTATTTTTTTATTTACGTTTTAAAAATTATTAATTAAAATAATTGTAATGAATTAATTTATTTATTTTCTTATTTTATGTTTTCACTTTAATTTTATTTAATATTTCTTTATTTTTGTTGATAATGGGAAAAATCCCAATTACTGCTCACATTTTTCATACAAATATATACATTCGTTTAAAATTTAATTAAAAAAAAAAGTACTAATTTTTAATGTACTTTTTATTTTTTTCATTATTTAAATGAATGTATTATTTTTTGTTTATTTTACAAATCTGTTTAATGTTGTGTTGTTTTTATTCATTTATTTTTGTTGTGATATTGGGGAAAAATTCCAATTACTGTTCACACTTTGTCTTTATAATGTTTGACTGATAAAATACTGCTGCAAAAAACAGGTAAGTAGTGTAAACTGAGTAAATGTTTTGGCAAACGTGTGTGTGTCAGGGCATCGAGGCTCTGGTGAGCGTGTCGGAGGGAGATCTCAGGAAAGCCATAACTTATCTCCAGAGCGCCGCCAGACTCCACACCGAGCAAGAAATCACTGAGCAGATCATCATCGAGATCGCTGGGGTGAGAGAACCTTCCTGATGGAGATCGAGCGTCTCTCAATACAGCATCTCAACACTCAGACTCTGTCTTTTCCAGGTGGTTCCACCCAAAGTGATCGAGACGCTCCTCCAGATCTCTTACAGAGGCACGTTTGAGAAGCTGGAGCTCGCTGTGAAGGTCAGTCATCTGCGAGGGGTTTCTCTGCAGCTCTGCAGCTCTGATCCATAATCCCGCTCTTGATTTGTGCAGGACATGATCGATGAGGGATACGCTGCCACCAACGTCCTCAACCAGTTACACGACGTCATCATCGACGAGAAGCTGAGCGATAAACAGAAATCCATCATCACACAGAAGATGGCTGTAAGTCTGCAGAGACGGGTGTGAAGTTTTGTGTGTTTGTTAGCGATGTAACGATATTATCAATATCACGGTCTCGATATTATCGCGGTCACATGACAATATGAAACGATAGGTCTGTGTAGTTTTTAAAATATATTTAAACTTCTTATTCTAACATTAAAGGTGTTTAAAGTTGTGTTTTGGGTCATTATGCTTTGGCACAGTATCTCAAACGAACTCAAACCGAAAGCACAATATGCTTCACCTCTTCATCAAGTCTGTTTCAAAGTGAAGCACACACTTGGTTCAGACGATCAGCTCGTGATCCGGTGTTTTCTGCGTCTCAGAACGACTCGTTCACACTGAATGAATGCAGTCCACTCCTTTATTTCACGTGCTGTGAGTTTAGCGCGCGTTTGGGAACGCAGCAGACACCAGTCATGCTTTATTTTCACGGCAGATGATGACAGCGTTTCACTAGATTTGTAGTGAGACGTGTTTCTGTAATCCTGTTTTCACTGAAGCTGGAGTTTTCCTTCTAAATAAAAGCTTAAAGTGCAGCATGAATCGCTGACAGCTAGCGGTTTAAACGCAGTCCAGATTCACAATATCTCTCTCAAGTGTAGAAATTAGGAAAGAAGTATGCTAGAAACATGCTAGCGACATGCTAATCATGCTAACAACATGCTAGTCACTTTTCTAAACATGCTAGCGACATGCTAGTCACTTGCTATTCATGCTAGCAACATGCTTGTCACTTGCTAAACATGCTAGCGACATGCTAGTCACTTGCTATTCATGCTAGCAACATGCTTGTCACTTGCTAAACATGCTAGCGACATGCTAGTCACTTGCTATTCATGCTAGCAACATGCTTGTCACTTGCTAAACATGCTAGCGACATGCTAGTCACTTGCTATTCATGCTAGCAACATGCTTGTCACTTGCTAAACATGCTAGCGACATGCTAGTCACTTGCTATTCATGCTAGCAACATGCTTGTCACTTGCTAAACATGCTAGCGACATGCTAGTCACTTGCTATTCATGCTAGCAACCTGCTTGTCACTTGCTAATCATGCTAGCGACATGCTAGTCACTTGCTATTCATGCTAGCGACATGCTAGTAACCTGCTAATCATGCTAGAAACATGCTAGTAACTTGCTGCTAGCAACATGCTTGTCACTTGCTAATCATGCTAGCAACATGCTAGAAACATGCTAGTGACTTGCTAATCTTGTTAGCAACATGCTAGAAACATGCTAGCGACATGCTAGTAACTTGGAATTCATGCTAGCGACATGCTAGTCTCACTTGCTATTCATGCTAGCAACATGCTTGTCACTTGCTAAACATGCTAGCGACATGTTAGTCACTTGCTATTCATGCTAGCAACATGCTTGTCACTTGCGAAACATGCTAGCGACATGCTTGTCACTTGCGAAACATGCTAGCGACATGCTAGTCACTTGCGCGTCATGCTAGCGACATGCTTGTCACTTTGTTAAACATGCTAGCGACATGCTAGTCACTTGCTATTCATGCTAGCAACATGCTTGTCACTTGCTAATCATGCTAGCAACATGCTAATCACTTGCTAATCATGTTAAAATGTTAGTCACTTGCTAATCGTGTTAACAACATGCTAGCAACATGCTAGTAACTTGTTAATCATGCAACATGTTAACGACATGCTAGTAACTTTGATAATCATGTTAACGACATGCTAGTCACTTGCTAGTCATGCTAGCAACATGCTAGAAACATGTTAACGACATGCTAGTAACTTTCTAATCAAACATGCTTGTCACTTGCTAAACATGCTAGCGACATGCTAGTCACTAGCTATTCATGCTAGCGACATGCTTGTCACTTGTTAAACATGCTAGCAACATGCTAGTCACTTGCTATTTATGCTAGCAACATGCTTGTTACTTGCTAATCTTGCTAGCAAAATACTAGAAACATGCTAGTGACTTGCTAATCTTGTTAGCAACATGTTAGAAACATGCTAGCGACATGCTAGTAACTTGGTATTCATGCTAGCAACATGCTAGTCACTTGCTAATCATGCTAACAAAATGTTAGTTACTTGCTAATCATGTTTGCAACATGCTAGTAACTTACTAATCATGCTAGCAAAATGTTAGAAACATGTAAACAACATGCTAGTCACTTGCTAATCATGCTAATGACATGCTAGTCACTGGCTAGTAATGTTAACAAACATGCTTGTCACTTGCTAATCATGCTAGCAACATGCTATCGGTTTAGTCGGCACAAGATGGCGGTGTGCCTTTTAATAAGTTACAAGAAAATACAACAGGGTCTGTTAACTCTGCTTATAGAAAATGAAGAGCAAAGAACTCGCATCAGGTGTGTTTTGCATTTTTTATATTTTAATATTAAATATGCAACATGGCAAATCAAAAAGATTTTTCATCTATGGTGCAAAAATTATAGCATTTTTTTACTTGGATTTCATTAACTAGCTGCGTAACAAGAACATGACCAATTTAAGTTTATAGGACAACTAAACTATCAATTTAAACAAAAATGTACCGTCAACTACAGACGTTGCATCCATCGATTCCGCCATGTTTCTCATTGACACACCCCCAACTCGGGGCTTAAAGAACATTTAGAGTTTCCCCACTCGTAATAACGACTTTGTGGTGGCGTTCATGTGCGTTCAACTCGTAAATACGATCTATCCGACATGACTTGAACGCACCATAACTTGGTCTTGCTAGCGACATGCTAGTAAATTGCTAATCATGCCAGAAATATGCTAGTAACAGGCTAATCATGCTTAAAAACATGCTAATCATGCTAGAAACGTTATCAACATCTATCTAAATTTTCTAATTTCAGGCTTTTACAACTGCTTTAAACTTTCAGTCTAGGCTTTCTCAAGCCAACCTAAAGTTTGTCTTGACTAACTTTATCTAGTTGTTGTTGTTATTATTATTATTATTATCATTATTCTATTCTAATTTGTTTGGCTTCCTAAAACAGCAGTGTGAGTGTAATTTAGACTGAGACAGTAGATCACAAATAAAAAGAGGGTCGAGTCTCCTTTAAAGTTCAGCTACAAGTCAATTCACTGACTTCTGATTTAAGTTTTCTTAGTTAAGAACATGTTGCAGCTCTTCATTCTGAACTCTCAAAAAATGTACAAAAATTAAATTTTTTCCCAATTCTTCATTAGACTTTTTTTTTTCTTTTTAAATATAGCAATAATATCGTATCGTGAGGTTTTGACACAGTATTTGTGTATTTCAGGAGGTGGATAAGTGTCTGGCAGACGGCGCAGACGAGTATCTGCAGTTACTGAGTCTCTGCTCTGTCATCATGCAGCAGGCCACACACAGCACCTGAGCCGACCAATCAGCTGCTCCGTCACACCTGAGCCGACCAATCAGCACTGGCGCTGATTCCACACACAGCTGCCTGGACTGTTGTTTTCAACTTTTTGTACGTGTAAAGTTTGCAATTAAAAACACTTCTTTCTAATATGTGTTGTACTGTGTTTTTAATCACTTAAAGAGACAGTTCACTCAAAAATTAGAATTCTGTTTGCTGCTCCCCATTGACTTCCATAGTGTGGAAAAAATACTACACAAGTCAATGGCTACCAGCAGCTGTTTGGTTTCCCACATTCTTCAAAATATCTTCTTTTGTGTTCAGCTGAAAAAAGAAACGCATACAGGTTCAGAAGCACATCAGAGTGAGCAAGGGTACAATTACATAAAAACAGAAAAGTTTTGTACACCTGACGTTTTCGAAATGAGCCCCGGTCACACAGATCCACAAAAATGACTAGAAATGCTGTATTATTAATGCCCAGCCAGTAGGTGGCGATGTCCCTCAAACATCACACATGCTTATATTGTACTTTATATGGAGACGATAGCAGTACAGTTCCCAAAAACTTGCACTTTGAAACAAATTTTCAAAAATTAGCGTTTTTAGTCCCGCAAAGTGCCATTTTCATGTAAATAAACGGCTGAAACGCATAAGTTTTGCAAAAGAAATGGTTTTGAGTTGAAAACGGTGTTGTGTAAACACCCCCCAAATAATGACAGAACTATCCCTTTAATATTTTCAAAATATCATAATTAGTGCTGTTAAACGATTAATCGCATACAAAAAAGTTTGTTTGCATAATATGTGTGTTCTGTGTATATTATGTATATATAAATACACACACATACAGTATATATTTTAAAAATATTTACTTGTATTTACATGTCTATATTCATCTAATTTATATTATAAATAAATATATAAACATTTTTCTGAAATGTATACATGCATGTGTGTGTATATAAATATACACAGCACACACATTATGTAAACAAAAACTTATTTTGGATGTGATCGCCATTAATTGTTTGACAGCACTAATATTTTTATTTATTTATATGTAATTATTTATAAATTATATATTATTACAAAATATAAATAATTATAATAATTTATTTAAATTTTTAATTAGATATTTTTATATAATTATATTTACAAATATTTCCTTTATACAGACAAAATCCTAGTTTACTACACTTTTATTTCAATTCTTTGAATACCATATCGAGTTGTCACAGCAAGAGTTAATTCCATTTGAACACGCAACAACTTTTCAACCTAAAGATGTGAGTACATGGAGGACATTAACTGGTAAAAGCTGTTTTGTCATCTTGAGTGGCTCTAGAAGGGTCTGTTTCTGGAGCGTGTGTTGATCAGTCCCAGCACTGAGAAAGCACTCGCTGCAGCCGTCACTAAACTGATGGCGCCTATGGCTCGTGATGCCTGCCAACACACAATCACACACTGTATGAGATCAACAGATTACAACAGCAAAATATCAAATGATGTCTCATGATGATCAGTATGCATGAGAGAAAATTACAGTGTATTTGATGGCATGCTGACTGATTGGCACATTCATCTGTGACGGTATTTTTATCTTAGATACTCGTCTAACTAGACAGCATCTTTGTCATAAGGCATGTCCTGAATCAGTAGCATTTTTGTTTTCTCCACAGGATAGAAAAAAATTTAAAATACAAAAAGGTAATTGTCACTTCTGATTTCAGAATTACAATTTTTTTCTTACAATTCTAGGTTTATATCTCACAATTCATTGCAAGTTTAGGTCTCAAATCTAAGTTTATATGTTGCTATTCTAAGTTTAAGTCTCACATTCGTAAATGTACATCTCGCAATTCTCAGTTTATATCTTGCAAAGATAAGTGTAAACCTCAAATTCTAAGTGTACATCTCGCACTTCTGACTTTTTTCTTAGAATTTAAAATTTTGATCTCAATTCTAAGTTTACATCGCAATTCTGACTTTTTTGGAATTGCAAGTTATATCTCACAATTCTACATTTACATCGCAATTCTTTTTTTTTTGGAATTGCAAGTTATATCTCACAATTCTACGTTTACATCGCAATTCTTTTTTTTTTGGAATTGCAAGTTATATCTCACAATTCTACATTTACATCGCAATTCTTTTTTTTTTGGAATTGCAAGTTATATCTCACAATTCTACATTTACATCTTGCATTTCTTTTTTTTTTTTTGCAAGTTATATCTCACAATTCTACATTTACATATTGCAATTCCTTTTTTTTTTAATTGCAAGTTATATCTCACAATTCTATGTTTACATCGCAATTCTTTTTTTTTGGAATTGCAAGTTATATCTCACAATTCTACGTTTACATCTTGCATTTCTTTTTTTTTTTTTGACAATTCTACGTTTACATCTCAATTCTTTTTTTTTTGGGGAATTGCAAGTTATATCTCAATTCTACGTTTTACATCGCAATTCTTTTTTTTTTTGGAATTGCAAGTTATATATCACAATTATACGTTTACATCTTGCAATTCTTTTTTTTTTGGAATTGCAAGTTATATCTCACAATTCTACATTTACATCTTGCGTAGCGTGGTAGAAGACTAGTTAGGTACGCAGGAGCTAACCCATTAAGGGCCTTATAGGCAAGTAATAATATTTTGTAACTGATACGGAATTTAATAGGTAGCCAGTGCAGAGACTGTAAAATTGGGGTAATATGATCATATTTTCTTGACCTGGTAAGGACTCTAGCCGCTGCATTTACATCTTGCAATTCTTTTTTTTTTGGAATTGCAAGTTATATCTCACAATTCTACGTTTACATCTCGCAATTCTGACTTATTTTCTTGGAATTGCACCTTTTCATCTAACAATTCTACATTTATATAGCAATTCTAAGTTTACATCTCACAATTCTTTTTTTTTTGGAATTGCAAGTTTATCGCTGACAATTCTGCGTTGATTCTGATTCTGAGTTAATTCTGAGAGTTCCGAGGAGCTCACTTGAAACAAAGAAACTAATAAAATATGTCAAAAAAACGTATCCAATGGTAAAAAAAATGTAATAAGCTGTCACAGCTTAGAATTTAACTTTAAAATAACTTTCCTGGATTTAACTTGATAACTTAAATATCCACTTCATATTTCACGTTCATATTTCAAACACTTACTTTTTTAAGTTGAAACAGCATGTTTTACAGAGTCTTTTACATATACCATGGTACTGGCTGAACACCAGACTCCCAGCACATGCCCCCTAAGAAGTGTGCTAGTAATCCAGTGTTTGTGTTGTGCACACAGAGACAAAAGAAGAGCTCTAGACCTGCTCAGACACTGCCTCCCCGTAGCGCAGGAGAGTGACGAAGTGCTCACAGTTGCTTCCCAGCAGGTCATAACACACCTCCTGTCCAATGAGCAGCTGCACTCGCTGGATGATCTCCGACACGGCCAGCGGCGTGTGATTGTCATCATATTTATTATTGATCTGGTATGAATCTCCTCCCACGACCTCCTTCAGGAGCTGCATGCGGACCACGGCCTTCCGGCTGAACACGGACTTCACACTGGACACAGCTGCGGCCGGACTCTCGTCTGACCCGAGGAAAACACAGACAGAGACGTTTAGTCCACATCTGCCCTCAAAAAACATTTAAGATCTGTGTATTTTAATTATTGCATATAACCAGGTCAAGAAAATACGTGACCCTGGAGCACAAAAGCAGTGTTAAGTCGCTGGGGTATATTTGTAGCAATAGCCAACAATACATTGTATGGGTCAAAATTATACATTTTTCTTTTATGCCAAAAATCATTAGGATATTAAGTAAAGATCATGTTCCTTGAAGATATTTTGTAAATCTACTGTAAATATATCAAAACTTCATTTTTGATTAGTAATATGCATTGCTAAGAACTTAATTTGAACAACTTTAAAGATGATTTTCTCAATATTTAGATTTTTTTGCACCCTCAGATTCCAGATTTTCAAATAGTTGCATCATTGCATCAGCTGATGCATAAATCTCAGTTTAAAAAAATTGACCCTTATGATGGGTTTTGTGCTCCAGGGTCACATGCTTTTCTGAAATATATACATGCATGTGTTTGTATTTATATATACATAATACACACACATATAGCATGTAAACAAAAAGCTTTATTTTGCATGCGATGACTGGTTTGACAGCACTACTTGAAATACACTGAGGCGGAGAGAGAGTGTGTGGGCTCGTGGCACGGACCGACAGGTGTGAGGTTGATGATGTATCCGTCTCCCAGGTAAAGAGCCCAGTGCTGATAGGCCGGTCTGAAGATCTCGATCAGGTCTCCAGGCTGAGGCTCCTCATCAGCTGCACTCGAGGCCATCTGAAGCAAACACACAAATCACGCTTCTTTATCAATAACAGACCTGCGTTTGATTACTGAGGTTTTCCATTTGATAGATTGCAGGCTTAACATTTTTTTCTTTAGTCCTCAGATTAAACTAAAAACCCGAATAATGGCGTGATCTTTCTCCCTTGAGTCTGCCAGCCAATATTCATCTTTTGTCGTGTCAGTTTAATAAGTCAAAAGTTGACTCACTCATGAGAAATAACATTAATAATCAGCAATAATGTTTCTGTTGTGTAGGATATAAGAGAGTTTCAGTTGATTTGTTATTTAGTGTAATTTATTATTTTTTATTAAGAGAGGTCACATCACATTTTCACATATATTAATCTTTTTTAAAAATATTTTATTTAGGATTTTTCTACCTTAACAATGTGGGTCCTAACACCCCAGTATAAAAATAAATATTCAATACAGTGATTTCATTCCGCAATATATATGAAACATTACAAAATGTAATAATAAATAAAAATTCCTGTCTAAATAAAGGCAAAAATGCCCAAAAAATAAGTCTTCAATATACTGATTTTATTTCTCAAAATAATAATAATGATAATAATAATTTACTAATAAATAAAAATTCCTATCTAAATAAAGGCAAAAATGCCAAAAAATAAGTCTTCAATATATTAATTTTATTCAGCAATATCTATAATAATAATAATAAATAATATGAATTGACATATATTCACAGGTGTACAAAGCAGTGCATCATGGGTAATTTGTTTGTATTTTTCATCTGTTAGTTTCCTGAAGCATAATATTAGTCTGTTTGGCACCGACACTTGCTTTCATAAAATAATACCTTCTTTAATGCTGCTAAAAATGATTTTATTGCTCAGTATTTTTGTCTGGTTTTCTGTTACAAGCACCTAAACACTCATAGATCAAGAAACATTTACTGGAGATAAACTCATTCATTTTGATGCATTTTTCAGAAAACAAGACTTCATATCATGCGTCATTTTGTGCCTTCAGTAAATGAATCATAAGGATGTTTAGACGATGCTCGTCTTTACACTGAAGGACATTGTACTTCTACAATCTGCTCATACACACACAGTTCTAAATAACTGAAGAAGTGCTTGTTTACTCACATGAACAGTTCTTCTCTGTTGATTATCCATCATCCCACAGCAGAATTCTGCACATTCTGATGGAAAAATACACCAGCGTTTCGCATCTTTATACATGCGCTTGGATCATCCTTCATTTAAAGACGTTAGAGGAATAGTTCGCCCAAAAAGGAGAGTTCTGTCATCAGTTGTTTTAAACCTGTATGAGTTTCTTTCTTCTGTTCAACACAAAAGAAGCTTCAATAAAACAACATGTAGAGAGTAAACGGTGACAGAATTCTCATTTTTGTGTGTACTGTCCCTTTAAATGTGCTCAACTGATGGCTCATCAGACACTGGTGCCACACTGAAATCAGTGAGCGATCACACTTGTGAGCATGTTAGGTGTGACGTGAAAACAGCCAGAGAATGCTGGAGTAACACAACACAATGAACACACACACGATTCACAATAGCTTCTCAATAATAGAGAAACCAGCAGAAGAACACGGGCCGTGAAACCTGTTCATCAAACATAATATTTGAACAGAAACACATTTCACATTTGTGTAAACTACACTTTTACTTAGAGCTTGGTATCAAAATAAACATTTCAGAATTCATTTTCAGCTCAAATGTACTCAGTAGGGTTATTATAGTCAACTAAAACCATAAAAAACATTGAAATAAAATACACATTAAATGAAATTAAATAAAACTTAAAAGAACATTTGAAAATAATAAAAATAAAAAAAATAGTTTTTTCAACATTGCCAATGCAACATTTCTCATTTTTATTTAAAGTTGACGACTAAAACTAATAACATTTGAAAATAATAAAAATTAAAAATAAAAAAAATAGTTTTTTCAACATTGCCAATGCAACATTTCTTATTTTTATTTAAAGTTGACGACTAACACTAAAACTGAAAAATAAATTAAATAAATAAAAAACTAATATTTTCAACATTGCCAATGCAACATTTCTCATTTTTATTTAAAGTTGACGACTAAAACTAAAACTGAAATAAAAATCATAATAAACTATATAGACATATTTAAAAAAACAACAAAAACTGATTAAAAATGACTTAAACGTGAAGTGAAATAAACATGAAAGCGGAAGATATGAAGAAACTCCAGCGGCATGTGAATGAGACTGCAGTAACTTGATCAGAGCGTCTCTGGTTTCTCAAGAACTGAATTAATGAAGTCAAATGTAGAGTCTGGCATCTAACAACAGCGATGAGATCCCGTGGATATTAAATGAAGCAGAATCACTTATTAGCAGACGTCATGATCAGCGGGTGATGTCAAGCCTCCATGGATGTGTTGTGATGCAGGAGAGCGTGTGTCTGATCTGAGCTGCTGCTGCTGCTGCGGTCACTCGCCGGTCAAACACAACACGCACTCTGACAGTAACTGAAGCATCAGCTCAGCACTCCTGAGATTACAGCAATAGCAAGAATGTTTCTGTGTGTGGCATACTAATCAGAGTAGCAGTTTATTTATTACTTTTTATTAAGAGGTAGAGGTCATGTCACATTTTCACATGAATTTCTCCATTATGTTTTATTTAGGATTTTAATACCTTTACAATGAATGTATATGTGGTCCGTGTGGGTCCTTAATCTTCAATACAGTGATTTTATTCTGCAATATATATGAAATCTTGCATAATTTAATAATAAATAAAAAATCCTGTCTAAATAAAGGCAAAAAAAGACAAAAAATAAATCTTCAATATATTGATTTTATTTCTCAGTATATTATTATTATTATTAATAATTTACTAATAAATAAAAAATCCTGTCTAAATAAAGGAAAAAATTCCAAAATAAATATTTAATATGTTAAATTTATTTCGCTTTATTTATGCTAATAATATAATAATAAATAAAAAATCCTGTTTAAATAAAGGCAAAAATTCCAAAATAAATCTTGAATATGCTGAATTTATTTCGAAGTATTTATACTAATAAAAATAATAATATATATTATATATTAAAATATATAATATAATATAACAGGGCTCGAAATTAACTTTTTTACTTGGTAGCACTGGTGCTCCCAACTTCAAAAAATTAGGAGCACCAGCAAAAATTTAGGAGCACCACAGCTACAAATTATATATGAACAGATTTTATCCTTACATTCTTAACTTTAATGCAGATTTTGTATTGGTTAATATTAGCTGTCAATCTCTCAGTCACTGCTTTCGGCTAACTACCGCGAGAAAAAGAAAGGGCTGAAGAAGAGAGAAAATGAAAATGAATTTTGTGATGCATTTTAATAGACTGAATCATGCCGTGAAAGAACGCACTCTAAATGCGCACGCGCACTAATCTAACCTAACAGACTTCACGTCATGTATGCGTGCACTCTTTGTAGGTGTGTTTCATTTGGATTTGATTTTGCAATATACTCGATAATGTCAAAACCGCACATCGTAAAACAAAAATTACGAAATGTGTAGATTCGGTGGCGAACGCTGTTACCTGCAAACTCCGTCCCACAGGCTTTACAGTGAACGCAGTGCATAGAACCATTTTCATAGCGGAGCCACTAGAAGTCTTTCAACCACTCTCTCCGAAAACTGTACGCCTTCTATTCGGCTGGTGGATCAACATTCACCACATGATCGCTATCACCAGCACCATTATTTGTAACTTTAGGTGGTTCACAAAAGAAATCTCTCCGTGTTTCTTTTTTTATTTTCTGTCTTCTTCAGCCTTTTACATTCCCCGCGGTAGTTAGCTCCCTGTCACCTGACAGCGGAAAGCAGTGACTGAGTGATTGACAGCTAATATTAACCAGTCTAAAATCTGCATTAAAGTTAAGAATGTAAAGATGAAGTTTAATTGGTTATGTAGCCTAACGTTTCATAGAACGGCAGACAGGTCACCGTATCAACACTTAGAAGGCACATACTCTGAACGTTTTTAGAGAAATGAAAACGGGTCGCACGACAACAATTATATGCACTCGCACAAATGCTCCCAAATATATTTTGAGGTCGCACAGATTAAATTTCGGGAGCATATGCGACCAAAACGGTCGCAATTTCGAGCCTTGTATAATAATAAATAAATAAATCCTGTCTAAATAAAGGCATAAAATGCTAAAATAAATCTTCAATATATTGATTTTATTTCTCAATATAATATAATGATAATAATAAAATATTAATTCACATGGATTTCTTTTTAAAATATTTTATTTAGGATTGTTCTACCTTTACTTAAATACACATGAAAGAGTAAAAAATCCCTAAACAAAACAAAACAAAACAGATATCAAGACCAATGCAAAGTAAAACGGCACAATATTTAAAATATTTAAGAGAAAATATGAACAGAAATCCATGCTCTTTCATATAGTTGTGGCAGCCTAACTGATGGAGCAGGCTTTTGCTTGTAGCACAAAATCAATCATAAAAACCCAGCAAAACAAGTAAACAAACTAGAAATTAAAACAAAACAAATAAAATAACAATCAAAAAGACTATATTCTTTTATACAATTTAGTTCTTTTACAAGTGTAATACAGTTATCATATATCTTATTAGCTGTTTTCCCTAATAAACCTGATAAAGTAACGTGTTTTACCTTCTTCAATGACTCCGAATTACTCACTCTCGCGAGACTAGCCAATCTCTCCAGTCTCCCCGCACGCCATTCTCGCGAGAGTCGAGGATTGTTTCGATGCATGAGGGCGAGTCCCCTCATTCTCGCGAGACTCCGCGCTGCGTTCACTACGCCCGCCCGTGATTCTCGCGAGACTGCGAGCGGAAGATGGTAGATGGCTCTTCCTCGTAGGGTGTGTGTGAGTGTGTGTCGTTTGTTTACCGTTCGATGCGTCGCTCCGGTGCGTGTTTCGTTCCCGTCCGTCTCTGTTGAGTCACCGGACAGTGTTCATGTTGTGCGGGCTGCTGTTTTCCACCGTTCATCTGTGTAAATATGACGGGAGAGAAGATCCGCTCGGTGCGCAAAGAGCGCAAGGCGGGTTTGGATCTGCTGGAGCCGGACGAGGAGCCGGCGGCCACCGGGCCGACCAAAGCCAACCGGGGCAGCAAGATCCTCAGCGGCGGCAACCACAAGATCCTCCGCTCCAGCTCGCAGCAGAACCAGAACCACGGCGACACTGACGGCGCGTATCCCGTGCATGAGTGCGTGTTCCGGGGAGACGTGCGGAGGCTGTCATCGCTCATCCGGACGCAGAACATCGCGCAGAAAGACCTGCACGGTGAGAGCGATCTGACATTATTCAGGGCTGATCGAGTGTCCTGATCATCTAGAACCGTTGTTATTCAGAGTCATAATATCTGGATTCATGCTGATTTAGTACCATAATGACTCAAACACATGATGATCTAGAACCGTTATTATTCAGATTATTCATGGTGATTGAGAATCATAATAATCCACAACCATGGTGGATCTAGAAATAGGATATTTTTCAGAATCATATTATCTGGAATAATGCTGATTTAGAGCCTTAATGACTCAAAAACATGATGATCAAGAACCGTAATAAACCAGAATCTTGTAGATTTAGGACTATTATCATTCAGCGTCATAATAATCCAGAAACATGTTGATTTAGAGCCTTAATGACTCAAAAACATGGTGATCGAGAACTATGATAATCCAGAATTTAGAAAGTAGATTTAGAACTATTATCATTCAGAGACATAATTATTATAATTAAGAAACCATAATGATACAAAGCATTGGAATTGAGAACCATAATAATATAAAATTATGCTAATCTACAACCTTAATAACTCAAAAACATGGTGATTGATTGTTCTAATAAACCACAAGCATGATGATCTAGAACCGTTATTATTCAGATTAGAGATGGTGATTGACAATCATAATCATCCAGAATCATGTTGATTTTGAGCTATTGTCTTTCTGTAATTACTGTAATTTAGAACCATAATGATAGAAAACATTGTAATTGAGAACCATGATAATCTAGAATCATGCTGATCTACAACCTTAATAACTCAAAAATAGGGTGATTGAGAATCATAGTAATCCAGAGTATTCTGATCTAGAACCTAACTGTCTAAATGTGATAATCAAGAACCATGACAATCCAGAATCACGCTGATCTAGAACTGTTCGTATTCAGATTCATATTAATTCGGAGTCATGCTGATCTAGAGCCTTAATGACTCAACAACATGGTGGTCAAGAATCATGATCCAGAATCATGGTGATCTAGAACTGTTGTTATTGTTCAGAGCCATGCTTATTATGTTTGGAGCCATAATGACTCAAAAATGTGGTGATCGACAATCATAATAATCCACAGCCACAGTGATCTAGACCTATTATTATTCAGAGTCTTAGTTATACAGACTATATAGACATGCTTATCTAGAACCATAATGCCTCAAAAATTTGGTCCAGAATCACGATGTTCTAGAACTGTTATTATTCAGATTCATAATAATTCAATTCATGCTGATCTAGAGCCTTAATGACTTAAAAACATGGTAATCAAGAATAGTGATCCAGAGTTGTGGTGATCTAGAACTGTTGTTGTTATTCAGAGCCATAATTATTATGAGCCATAATGCCTCAAAAATATGGTGATAGAGAATTATAACAATTCACAGCCAAAGTGTTCTAGACCTGTTATTATTATTCAGAGTATAATAATACAGAAACATGCTTATCTAGAACCAAATATGGTGACAGAGAATCTTAATAATTCAGAATCATGAGGAGGATCTACAACTGTTTTTATTCAGATTATGAACCACAGTAATCCAGAATCTTGATGATCTAGAGCCTCGATGACTCAGAAACACGGTCGAGAACCATAATAATTATGACAATAATGGAAAGCTAGTTTGCTTAGATATTGTAATTCTGCATGTTTTGCCGGTGACGGACAACACCAAAGCTAGCATTCATTTAAGGTTTTATCTGTATGATGGATTATGAATCAGTCATGATTAATGTCATTCTCCTGAGCCGGTTCGTTTGATTCACTAACATGTGTTACCTGTTTTCATTCTCATATCATATTAAACTGCTTCTCTGCACATGCATAATAGAGGACTTATAATTGTGATTAACAAAACTGAAATTAAAATGAATAAAAGCTATACAGACGCATTTTTGCAGTTTTGCCGAATGATTGCTCAGTTTGGGTTTGTCCCGGTTGTAAATGACTCAGTATTGTCTGTCTTACAGGAAACACCCCCCTTCATCTGGCTGTTATGATGGGTCATAAAGGTGAGTTGCCTGCTTCTGATACGTCTGAATGCTTGATTGGGTGTTTCCCAGCATGATGCATCTGACACAACAGATCAGTGGCATAAAACATCATTTATGAACTTGCACAGGTCTCAATGGGAGACTCATGAAATTTTTTTTAGGTCTATTAAGTTTTTAATTGACATTTTTTCATGATTTTTCACATGCATTATTAATGCAAAAACCCTCGTGTTCATTACAGTAACACATCCAGATGTTATATTTTTGACCACTACATTTTTTTATTTTCATTGTCATTACCATGATTCAATAATTCTTTACCATATTACAATAAAACATATACTATGATAATACAATGAGTTTTTTATATATATATTTACGTATTTAAATCAGCATAAATGACACACACACATAAACTCTCTCTCACACACACACACATTCACACTCTCTCTCTCTCACACACACACACTCTCACACACACACACACACGCTCTCTCACACACACACAAACAGTTACATACTCGCATTCACACACACACTCACACACATTCACACTCTATCTCACACACACACAAACAGTTACATACTCGCACTCACACACACACACACACACTCTCACACTAGGGCTGCACGATAAATCGCATGCGATATTTAACTCGCCACTCACACACACACACACTCACACTCACACACACAGACAGACAGAGAGAGAGAGAGAGGGGGTTTGTTCAGAAAGTCTGTCTCAACACTAGCATTGCATTCATGCACTTAAATGTCTTGTGTTTGATTACAAATGCTGCAAAAATCGTATTGGAAAACACAGGGTTTCTGCTTTGTCTTAATTCGCTCTTCCACAAATTAAGGCCTGAAATCAATTTTAAATTGGAGCAGAAAGTCTTAAATTCATAAAATTGTGGCATTAAATGTTGCATGCGCTGCAAAACCTACATCTCTTCCTCAGTACTTTTGTCTTGTTTTCCAGTACAAATATCTAAACATCCTGAAATCAAGATACATTTACTGGAGATGCAAAATTAAGATATGAAGTCTTTTTTTATGAGAAACTGATCAAAATGAAGTCGTTTCGTGATCCGTGCTTATGAGTCCCGATTCAAATCAAATGATTTGCGAACCATCATTTTAGATTGTGATCATTCAATTCGCAAAATGATTTGTGAACTTGCTCCGAAGTTCTGATCTGAATCAAAAGATTCACAAACCTGCTCCAAAGTTCCGATCTGAATTAAATGACTCGCGAACCCGCTCTGAAGTTACGATCTGAATCAAAAAATTTGCAAACCCGCTCTGAAGTTACGATCTGAATCAAAAGATTCACGAGCCTGCTCCAAAGTTCCGATCTGAATCAAATGATTCACGAACGCGCTCCAAAGTTCCGATCTGAATCAAATAAGAACTGAATCAAATTATTCACAAACCCGCTCCAAATTTCCAAACTCTTAACTCATAAAACTCTTTCTCATATAACAAGTCTTCTGATTTTGTGTCATTCTGCTTCTCCAGTAAATGTATCTTGATTTCAGAATCTATTGACATTTTCACTGGAAAACAAGACAGAAATACAGAGGAAGAACAGCACTTTTTTTGCAGTGTGATCAGAAGTACAGTAAAAGTTATTTCCATATTCTAGTGTTTTGGAGAATGAATTAAAATGGATTAAAAAGTAATGGAAATCTATTTCAAGTTGTATTTTCAAACTTTGATGTGTTGCTAGAAGAAGACATTTATATTTAGAGAACATATTGACATATTCCATTCAATGTTTTCATTAAATTTTCTTTATTTGGTCTTAAAATAGTCTTCAATTTACCTTCATAAACCTGCAGAAACCCTAAAAACAGACACAGTAGAAGATCTAAATTTACATTTATGGAGCAGATGCATTTATTCAGAACATAAGTGTTTTTTGGTAGTCGTGATTTTAATCTTGATTATTTATTTAATTGAATCTGTGTATAGAGCAGTACAACAAACCCGTCACGATCTCTTCATTGACTGAATCTGAAATAAAAGCCGTTGGTTGGGCTGTGCTGAGCGTTTCTAGCGGAGAGAAGGACATTGTTATGCGCTAACAGAGCGGCGCAGAAGGTCACCAAACACTTGGCAGCGACTCAAACTCGCTGCCGTCGCTGTGTTTCTCCGCTGAAGCGGAGACTGAACACATCACAACGAACTGACGTTGATCACAGTGACATGATAAATGTGCAGTATGTGAGGTTTCTGTCTGCATGATTTCACGAGCAGAGCGCAACCAAAGCACTGCGACTGGAAGCTTGTTTCCAATGAAAAATAACAAAAGGTACTTGCAACTTATTATTACACAATTCTGACTTTTTTTCCCTCAGAATTGCAAGTGATAAACCTGCAATTTTGAGTTTTCATCTCGCAATTCTATTTTTTTTTCTTAGAATTTTGTCTTTAGATTTTGCAATTTTGTTTTCAACATGGAATAGAATGGAAAAGGTAGTTGCAACTTTTTATCTCAAAATTGTGACTCTTTTTGTGCGATGGCAACATTGTCACAATTTAGACTTTCCGTTTCGCAATTCTGACTTTCTCGCAATTCTGACTTTTTCTCGGAATTCAGACTTTTTCTCGCAATTCTGTAGGGGTGTAACGGTACACGTATTCGTACCGAACCGTTTCGGTACGGGTCTTTTGGTTCGGTACGCATGTGAACCGAACGAATACAGGTTTTTTTTTTTTCTCCGGAAATTCAAATAATAAATGGCGTTTCGTACCGAACCGTCATATTTGTGTACCGTTACACCCCTACAATTCTGACTTTTTCTCGCAATTTTGACTTTTTCTCACAATTCTGACTTTTTCTCGGAATTCTGGCTTTTTCTCGCAATTCTGACTTTTTCTCGCGATTCTGACTTTTTCTCGCGATTCTGACTTTTTCTCGGAATTTTGACTTTTTCTCGCAATTCTGACTTTTTCTTGGAATTCTAACTTTTTCTCGGAATTCTAACTTTTTCTCGGAATTCTAACTTTATTCTCGCAATTCTGGCTTTTTCTCGGAATTCTGACGTTTTCTTGGAATTCTGACTTTTACTCGCGATTCTGACTTTTTCTCGCAATTCTGACTTTTGTTTCCGGCACAAAATAAAAAAGGTAATTGCATCTTTTTCATCTTACAATTCTTGACTTTTTTTCTTCAAAATTGCAAGTTATGAACCCACAATTTCGCAATTTTACTTCGACTTTACATTTTGCAATTTCTGTTTTCAGCATGGAATAAAAAAATGTAAAAAAAAAAGGTAGTTACAACTTTTTCTCACAATTGTGTTTTTGTGCAATTGCAGCATTATATCTAACAATTTAGATTTTTCTTCTTGCAATTCTGGCTTTTTTCCCCCTCCGAATTCTGATTTAACATTTTAAAAATATAAAAATGGTAGTTGCGATTTTTTATCTCACAATTTTTCTCGGAATTCTAACTTTTTCTCGGAATTCTGGCTTTTTCTCGGAATTCTGACTTTTTCTTGGAATTCTGACTTTTACTCGCGATTCTGACTTTTTCTCGCAATTCTGACTTTTGTTTCCGGCACAAAATAAAAAAGGTAATTGCATCTTTTTCATCGTACAATTCTTGACTTTTTTTCTTCAAAATTGCAAGTTATGAACCCACAATTTCGCAATTTTACTTCGACTTTACATTTTGCAATTTCTGTTTTCAGCATGGAATAAAAAAATGTAAAAAAAAAAGGTAGTTACAACTTTTTCTCACAATTGTGTTTTTGTGCAATTGCAGCATTATATCTAACAATTTAGATTTTTCTTCTTGCAATTCTGGCTTTTTTCCCCCTCCGAATTCTGATTTAACATTTTAAAAATATAAAAATGGTAGTTGCGATTTTTTATCTCACAATTCTGACTTTCTATTTGGCAGCTCAGATTTTTTTTCTCAGAATTGCAATTAAAAAAAAACTGAATTGTCACATAAAAAGCAATAACCTTTTGACTAACTTTTTTTTTAAATAAGCTTCCATAGCATAATGTATCCCACAATGTAGTGCATTAGACTTGACCAGAAGTGATATTTACATTAACAGTTATGCATTTACGTTGATACATAAATGTAAATGCATTTGGCAGGCGCTTTTACTGCATTCTCTTTCAAGTGTTGTTTTCAGAAGTCAGCAGTATATAGTGTGTAGTGTGCTAGTATTTCATCTTTACTGGCTCTAGACGTCCACTAGTGTTTGACCTGGTGAAGAGCTCGGAGGCGTTTCTTTCTTCTGAATGCTGAAATTAAAGGCATTCCTTTGTGGCCGCAGCAGAAGAGGGATGTTAAATTAAGCTGCTGCACCTCCTTTAATGTTTAAATCGGGATCTGGGCATCATTTCAGTGGCATGCTTCCCTTTCTGGAGCTCGTGCAGCGCTGGGTGAAAGGGTTCTGCTGTGTCTTAAAGCATCTGTAATGCATAATAAAACAGCAAAATAAGGGACATTTATTGAAAAGAAAGATGCACAGATGCAATATTTGACAGTCTGTACAGTTTGGAGACAGTAGATGTAGTTAGTGTTTGGTTTATCAGTGTGATTTCAGTGTCTCTGTCTGTGATGTGAGCGAAATCAGACGTTCAAGGCACTGTAAAGAAGCATTGATATGCTCTTCTCTCCTCCTCAGAATGTGCTCATCTCCTGCTGGCCCATAATGCACCAGTGAAGGTGAAAAACGCTCAGGGATGGAGTCCACTCGCCGAGGCCATCAGCTACGGAGACCGACAGATGAGTACGGCATTGATATACTGTTATAGATTTTGCTCATATCTTGAATTAGATTTTATTTTTATATTTTATGTTTCAATTTTAATTAAAAATGTTGTTGTGTTTGTCATTTTATTATTAAAAAAATAATAATTTTAATTGTTTTGTCATTTTTATTATTTATAAATATGTTTGGGTTGTTTTTAAGTTTCAGTTTGTTCAGTTTTAGTTATTTTAGTGCCTAAATGAAAATGAGAAATACTGAAAATTATCCGTATTAGTTCAGTGATGGAGGTGTTTGTGTGCTCGTGTGACACTCTGTGCATCATGGGAGTTTAATGGCTGTGAGTCAGAATCGAGCGGTTTCTGTCGTCAGTTCTCAAGAGCTCGCGGTGCAAGTCCAGACGTGACGGAGATCAACAGAGAACGAAAAACAAAACGACAGTCATTTCAAATGCTGTACAAATCAGTGCAATTACAGCTGATTTAGGTAGCATGATCAGAATGTCTCTTAATTAAAAACACGAAGAAGGTCTGTACTCTAAAAATGTGCTTTTATGAGATGTTTATTAAGGTTGTAACGGGATAAAACATGTACTAGTGACAGTCTGTCCTTGAGCTGCAGTAAATTTAGAAGAGTTTGAGAGAAATGCTGAATACTGTCTGCTTGTGTATTTGATCAACCCTAGAGTAATCAATGTGTCTGATTTCATTTGGTGCTATTTCAATACGTTTTATACTATTTCATTACTTCTGATGATATTTCAGTTGGTTTAATAATTTCAGTACTTTTGATACTATTTCAGCATTTTGATACTATTTCAGTATTTTCGTAATATTTCAGTACTTTTGGTACTAATGCAGTACTTTTGATAATATATCAGTATTTTGATCAATTTTCAGTACTTTTGATATTTCAATACTTTAGATACAGGTGCATCTCAATAAATTAGAATGTCGTGGAAAAGTTCATTTATTTCAGTAATTCAACTCAAATTGTTGAAATTTGTTGCGATAGTGAATTGATGGGTTTTTGTTAAATGTGAGCCAAAATCATCACAATTAAAAGAACCAAAGACTTAAACTACTT